TCCCTCTCCCTCCTCTCCTAGTATCTGGCAGACTGTCCTGATTTCATGCACGTGGTATCACTGGGTCTTTGTACTTGTCTGCTTAGATTTTAGAAATCTGCCTATGGTTATCCTGGGTATCCAGAGGAAGAATTTAAAAGCTGCTGTCTGGGATGCTCTGTGCACAGCCTGGCTTCTCTCTCCGCCTCCCACTGCATTCTGTCCCGTTAGTGCAGCTGCTGCAATCTCTTCTTGGCCTCTGGTAGTCTCTGTTCATCTCACAATTTGATCTACAGCAAAGTCTCTGAAGCCTTTCCAGTTTCCACGGCCTGGATAAAGCGTCCCTTTCCCTATAAAGAGTGCCTCACGTCACAGGTCTGTGACAGTGGAGCAAGCAGGTGATCTGTTGGAACGGTTTTGTATTGTGGTCTTGCTATTTAATCCCTGTGTTCTTGTTTAATCTTTCATAAGCATCTGATGGATTCTACTTTATATAAACAGAACCTGGTACCCGATCTGTTACAGAGATGGATGTTGAATTGAGTTAGGGTTAGAGTTAGGGTTAACGTTTGGGTTAGGGTTAGGGTTTGGGTTAGGGTGATGGTTGGTGCCTTTGCTGGCAGTCTTGGGTCAGTGGTTATGCTCCTCTGGTCATCCCTCAGTCTCGTGCTGCCCTCAGACCTCATGTTAACCACCGTGTGTGCTTTAGTTGCAGATCCCCAGCGTGAAAGGCTTCGATTTTGCTAAGCAGCATCTGGGTCAACACAATAAAGACGACATACTGATTATTCATGAGCCAGCACCACTGCCAGGACCTGTGAAGGACCACACCACACCCTCTGAAAATGGAGATGTGCCGAGCCCAAAGTCAAAGATCCCTTCCAAGAACATCCGACACAGAGGGAGGTTAGTATTGAGCTTTCTAGACTGTTCTCTGTTGCAGAAACCTGTTTCAGCTTTCAGGGCTGTTTCAGATATCGGAAATGCTAGTGATGAGTGTTGCCTTGGGCCGGCAGCCTGGGAGACTTCTACAATTCTCCAATTCTTTGTGCTGGGTTGCTCCAGATTTGATTATGAGTTAGACAGCTAGAAGTGTTTCCTGAGGCGAATGTTTTAAGCTCTGTGAAGATAATACAAGAAAGAATGAATAAAAAGTGAACAACAGGCAAGATGGCTCAGAAGTTCAGAGCACTGACTGTTCTTCCAGAGGTCCTGAGTTCAATTCCCAGCAACCACATGGTGGCTCACAACCATCTGTAATGGGATCTGATGCCCTCTTTTGGTGTGTCTGAAGAGAGCAACAGTGTATTCATATACATAAAATAAATAAAAATCTAAAAACAAAACCGTTAAAGTACATGGTCCACTGCACACCGTCAGTCAGCCAGGCTCCTGTGCTCTACCCACTGGTAGCTGGGACCTCTTGCTTTGTCTGCAGGCGACCTTCATCAAGTCCTCCATTTTGCTTTGCTTTTTCCCAGCTTGCCATGCTGTGACCTTTGTTAGCACATCACAGGTGCTCACCCACCTCTCCTTGTCCATTCCCAGTCCGCTTCCAGTTCCTCCTGTGCAGAAAGCAGAGCTTGTGGAGAATTTTAATTTTCCAAACTGCCAGGTAGGCACTTGCTGCTGCCCTCTGCCTGTGGGAAGAACTAGAATAACCTGAAGAAGACAGAGCCAGGATCAGGCCTTATGAGGTTTCAGTTCACAGCTTTTGCCTCTGAGGTCTCCCTCTGTCCGCCTCCCCTCGAGATTCAGAACTCTGGCTTTTGATTGGCCGCTGGGAGTGAAGAAGCTTATGTCCGTACCAATGTTCAACATCCAAACCCATGATGTCACTTCCGCCTGGGGGATCTGGCCTAGTTGAAGAATGTAATGGATGTTGGTGTCTGGTCCTTAGGGAAGAAATTAAACTCTGCAGAGAGATGCTCTTATATAAATTATTTCCCAGGCCAAGAAGCAGCAAATCAGCAAAGATGATTTAACTCGTTTGTAAAAGTTTTCAAAGAGTTGTTTTCTCCCCAGTAGCCTCTTGGCAAACGACAGTTGGTCTTTTAGGTGGATAGATTTATTCTGTTCTGCTTTCCTGTTCCCTCCGTGGTTTCAACCACCTGTGCATCAAAAATACTTGGGGAAAATACTGTTGACATTGAATTACAGACTTGTTCTGATCATTATTTCTTTAAGATTATTTATTTATTATGTATACAGCGTTCTGTCTGCATGTACACCTGCAGGCCAGAAAAGCACACCAGATCTTATTGTAGATGGTTATGAGCCACCATGTGGTTGCTGGGAATTAAACTCAGGACCTCTGGAAGAGCAGACAGTGCTCTTAACCATTGAGCCATCTCTCCAGCCCCTTGTCATTATTCTTAAAGCAGTTTGTGACAGCTATTCACACTGTTGTGCAAGGTGCTCTAGGGACTGTAGGGGTGATTATAAGAGAAGGTAGTTACAGGCAAACGCAGTCATTTCGTATAAGAGACTTGAGGGTATCTATGGCCCACAGATAATGAAGGCCAGCCGTGAAAGTCCCTCAAGGACGCCAGAATGTATCAGCAGGTCATGTTGCTGTTGAAGCTAGGGAGTGTTGGAGGCTGGGTGCTCACTGGGTAAGGCTCCCTAGCCATGTACAACCCAGTGCTGTCTTACCCTTAAGTCATGGAGTCAGATCTCATGGGGTCATTGCTTTAGTGTTGTAAGTAAGGTAATCATCTGAAGGCTTGGAGTTACTTGGGGTGGAACCAGAACTTCCCTGGCCTTGCAGGGTTCTCAGGCCCAGTTAATGCTAAAGCAGGCCAGAACCCCAGGTTCCTCTTCTTTTTAAAAAATCACATATCTCCCGCTCCCCCTTCCCCTCCCCCTCCCCTCCCCTCCTCCTCCCCCACCCTCCCCCTTCCCTTCCCTCTCCTTTCCCCTTTCTTCCTCCCTCTGCTCTCGTCTCCTCCCCTCCCCTCTTTCTTTGTGTGTGTACGTGTGTACATGTGGAGGTTGAGGACAATAATTAGGAGTCAATTCTCTTCTATCATGTGTAGGTCTCAGGGGATCACATGCAGGCTTGGTGACGAACACCTTTATCTGCTGAGCCTTTATTTTAAAGAGAAAGCTGCTTGTTTTCTTGTGGTGCTAACAATTGGTGCCCAGGGCTTTTCAAATGCTGACCAGTACGCAAACACTAAGCAGATACTTTTTCATCTGACTTGTGTTAGACCCAGACTCGCTGTCTAGAGGTGACCTGGGGTCAGGCCTTGGGCCCCAGTAGCTCTGGGACTTCCTCCCCTCCAGCACTCAGTTTTCTGGCCTTTGTTGAGAAGTGCCCTGCTCAGCTGTTGAGTCAGCCATGCCAGTCTGTCCTCAGGACTGTAGCTGTAGTATGATCCTTTAATTTTGGATTATTTTTCCTGGAAGCCTGCTTCCTAGTGAACCTGACGATGTTAACTCTTCTGTGCTTCTCTGATGCTTGCATTTTTTTTTTTTTTTTTTGTCTGCAGAGTTTCCCCTTCAGATGCCGACTCCACCGTCAGCGAGGAGTCCAGCGAGAGGGATGCGGGAGAGAAGACGCAGGCTACCGCCCCTGAGAACAAGGCCCACAGAGCTCCTCAGAGCGGTGTGTCACTGTCTGTCCTCTCCACTGTATGGCCCATAGCCCGGGGATTGCCCTACTGCAGAAACCAAACTTTAAAAAAAATCTATAAAAATGGACTAAGCAGCAGTCGTGCTGAGTTTTTGAGCCTTGACAGTCACTTCGATCCCTATGTTGGTGTCTCCTTTAAGGAAGGGCACAGGGGTAGAGGCTAGGACTTCACTGACTTGTGTCTTAAAGCTAGAAATTCATTTTCATTTAGTCTCCAAGCGGGACAAGGAGAATTTAATGGAAACTGTAGTCCTAAAACTGTCTGTCAACACAGTGGTTTTTTTTTTTTTTTTTGAACCAGTTTCAGGATGTTCACTTTTGGGAAGATGTTTGTCCGTCAGGGGTTCACACCCATCTAGTGTGGTCTTGTTTCTAGATCATTCTCCCAGCAGGTAATTGGGTATAATCAGATGGCTTAGCCATCTTTGCAGGCCAGGCACAAAACAAAAGTCACTCCCACTGTAAAGTTCATTGCTTTGGGTCTAATACCAATTAAATAACCAAGCCAAACAAACACCTTTGCCCACAAGCCTTCCGTGCCCTGGTAATAGTCCTTGGGTGCTAGCAACATGTCATGGTTTTATTTTGTTTTGGGTTTTTGGAGACATAGTCCCATAAGGCCTAGCTCTGCCTAAAAATCTGAATCCTCCTGATTTTACCTCCTGACTGGTGAGGGGACAGACATGTTCTACCATTCCTGGCTGACAGCTTGGTTTCGTAGTTATGTATGTATGTATGTATGTATGTATGTATGTATGTATGTATATGTATGGACACACAGGTACCATGGTGCCCATGTGAAGGTCAGAGAATAACTAACTTGTGGGAATATTTTCTTTCCTCCTAACGCATAAGAATTGAACTCAGGTTGTCTAGCCTGGTAGTGAGTGCTGTTACCCACTCAGCCACCCTGCCTAAGCCCCCAGTAGCTTGGCTTCAGCTTAAGAGGTTGTTTTAAATGAGCCTGCTCTTGGTGAGTTGCCTGGGTCTTTGTTTTTAATCTCATGATCCTGTTTCAGCCCTTCAGACATAAGGGATTTAGTAATGGTTTTTGTACTTACTGTTTTGGAGACTTTGGGTCTTGATGGGGACTTGGGTCCTAGGAGTGCCAGCTTGGGCTGGCCTGACACTCATCATCACCAGACTGGCCTCACAGTGGCCTGTCACAGTGGCCTCTCAGTGGCCTGTGCCTAGTGCTGGAATTAACAGCATATGCCAGCATATCTGGCTACATGTACTCTAAAATGTTTTGTTGTTTTAGATTTATTTTGTTTCATGTATATGAGTATTTTACCTGCATGTATGTATTCCCACCATGTGCATGCAGCGTCTGTGGTGGTCAGAGGGGGCATTGGATCTCTTGGAACTACAATTTTGGATGGTGGTGAACCATAGTGTGGGTGCTGGGAACCGAACTCAGATCTCTGTGTGATGAGCAAGAGTGATCAGCCTCAGAGCCATCTCTCCAGCCCCATTCTCACTCTGTCACACATTTCTTTGTTTGAAAATACGGTACAGACCGAATATCATTCTATAAATGGAGGAGTCCGGACCAAGGCCCAAGGGACTCACGTGCCCCTGACACGCACCCCTAGGGCCTTGCAGGTCCCTGCCCTGCCCTGCCCTGGCCTGCCCTGCCCTGCCCTATGAGCCCATCACTCACCCTTGCCACCCCTCCCCGCAGGCTCTTTTGTAATGTTGAGGAAATACCCCCTTAGACTAAGGGAAGAGTTTTTTCCTTGGGATCCAGTTTCACAGAATCTTAGAGCTTACTTAGCACCATGGTAACCCAGGTGCCATGTTTCAGATAGGCAAGATTAAAGTCTCGTTTAAATCCTGGGAAAGAAATATTTGAGAAAGAAGAGGAGAGTTGTAGCCTTTCTCAGTCTCTGCTGACTGCTCACCCTAGCTCGCTTGTGCTGTTCCTTGTGTCCACCTCTACCCCCTTCTGACAGAATCTCCTATGAAGGGAGCAAACCCCAGCAGCACTGTCCGCATGCCTTCAGAATTCAGGGGGCTAAAAGCCCACCGCCTGTGAGGCAGGGCAGTGAGTTGGGGCTTCCTGGGAGTGCCAGGAGCTCAGGTGCTGCTGCCATCATTGAAAGCATGCTCGTGAAGCCAGAATCTGTGTGTTATGTCTGTGTTCTGGAAAGATAATACCAACTCACTTTAAAACTCCAGCCTTCTTACAAGTTGCCAGCTCTGGGGCTGCTGTAGGTGTTTTCCTTTTACATAGAGCTTCATTAGATACTGTGTATGTGAGTGAGTATGAGGAAGGAGGGAGGCAGAGAGAGAGAGAGAGAGAGAGAGAGAGAGAGAGAAAGAGAGAGAGAGACTCAGAACTCTGCTGCACATGCTGGGCAAGTGCTCTTCTCAAGCTATACTTCTAGTGCCCTCACCTTTAGAGACTATGGCTTCCTTGTAGCCCAGGCTAGACCCCAAACTAGCAGTTCTCTCTTGAGTGCTAGGATCACAGGTGCACCCCACAGTGCCTAGATTGTTTCTTAAATTTTACATAGAGATCCTTTTCCTTCGTGATGTCATGTGAGTGGAGGAGGTTGTTGAGAACCACCAGGAACCTCGTTCTCTGGACCAGTGTTGCTTGTCACCACTGCATGTGGCACACCCAGTGGCTGGCTTTAGGGTCCCTGGCATGCCCTTTTCAGTCCCCCTCTTGCAACAGTCTCACAAAAGACTGCTCTTCATGTTTTGGCAAATGCAGACTTGATTGTGTTCCTTGCCCTGCCACTTTGAAGCTGGCTAGACTGTCATGCAACCCTTGGGTCCATCTTTGGGACTTACAGAGTGACTGACTGACAGGGTCAGGAATACAGTGGATAGAAACGGACCGCCGAGTGCTTTCTGGTGGGAGGTGGGTGCTGAGACAGGCTGTGGCTATGTAGCTCTGGGCGACTCGCTAGGAGACCTGGTTAGCCTTGCACTCCCAGAGATCCACTTGGATCTGCCTCCTGGGTGCTCGCATCAAGTGTCCGCTCTGTCCCCCCTCCTCCAGGGCTTTCTTGATGTTCTCACCCGTGCTGTGTGTGATTCTGAAGTAGTTATATCTTTTTTATTGACTTGAGTTCCACACGTTCCAGGTGTGAGCATTTCTCCTGGGGACTGATAGGACATTTATTGGGGCACCTGATAAGGTCTTCGCTAGGTGAAGGGACGCATTGTTTCAACCAGATTAGGTCCATGTATGAGGTGTGAAGTGATTTTGGAGGCTCACTTCTGAAATGACTGACATCATTAAGCACAGTTCTCGATTTCTCACTGAGGCAATTCCCAGAGGCCTCTTTAAGGAAGAATATTATAAACTGAGTCGTGACTGCCGACAGTTGGTCCTCATTTGGGGTTTCCCTTGAGCATCTAGACTGTGTTTCCTGTCAGAGATGAGGGTCAGTGTCAGCCCTTCAGGGTGTGGCTGGGCGTCACCAGAGTTAGCAATGGTGGGGATTGACTCTGTGTGTCTGTAACTGATGAAACTCTTTCTTAAAAATAGTCTTCCATCAAAGCATTTCAGAAGTACCCTTCCAGTACACCGTTGTGTGTAGCTGACATCATTCTGTATGATACTACATTGCCTCCTTTTGGGAGTCTTAAACAGCAAAAATTAATTTTTTCCCTCTAACTTCAAAATTTTTGTTTATTTTAATATATGCCTATGACATAATTTTTAAAAAAGCATTTTTAGGATTTTTTAATTTTATGCATATGAGTGTTTTGCCTGATTGTATGTGCATGGATCATACCCTGGTGCCCAAGGAGGTCAGAAGAGGGCATCAGATCCAGGGAACTGGGGTTCTAGTTACAGATAGTTGTGAGCCACCTTGTGAGTGTTGGTAACCTGAACCTGGATCCTTCACAGAACAGCAGCTGCTCTCCCAACATTACGTTTTAATTTATTATATATTAAAATACACATGTATGTCCTTTAGAATGGTGGACTGGTTATTTGCTGTGTGAGACACTCATCACAGTGAACTTGTTTTTATGTGAGAATGCTTGAAGTCTCTCACGGTGCTTAGAAAGGATTTACATTTATTCGTTTGTTTACTGTGTGTGTGTTTGTACATGCGTGGGCACACACATGTCCCGGCTATGATGCATATGTGGAGCTCAGGGGACAAGTTACAGGAGTCGTTTCTCTTCTTTCTGCATGCGGGTTCCGGACCTAAGCTCAGGTTGTCGAGCTTGGCAGCGATCATTTTACCCTCTGAGCCATCTTGGCAGCCACTTCTTGGCTATTTTATGGTAGATAACATTTATTGTAGTCAATGATTTCTTGAACGTGTGGTGTGATTTATATTATTACTTTTTAAAGAATAACTTCAAAAGAGAAACACTTTTTAATCCGATGTCCTTATGTGCCTTAAGGTCTCCCCACATCCGCATCTCTTAAGCTCCCATTGGTTGTTATTATCTAAGTAATTTTTAATTGTATACTATGTAGCATAATATGTAGTATAATTTAATGCACAGTTAAAATTCCCTTTCCAGGTATTTTGAAAGACTGGGTCCTGGACAGTACAGGAACTGGGGGATTTCTTTTACTTTCCTGCCTTTACCCTGCAGCTTGGCAGAGAAGCCTGAGGTCTGGGCGTTCCTTGCCTTGAAGGTTGTAGGTGGTGAATGGTCCAGCAAAGCTCTGTGACCTCAGCTGAGAGGATGGTGACTCCCACTCACAGGCTGTGGTTCAGGTGGGATCCCGGCAGAGATGATGGATGGACAGGGAGAGCTGCCCATTGAGTCATTAGACTCAGAAGGAGGAGGGAGCTCTGTCACCCCGCAGGAGAGTGTGCAGAGATGCCAACTTAGTGACTTTTCTATTTCTTAGAAGTTCAGATCAGCAAGGCTGCCTGCTGGCAAGGGTAATCTCTTTTCAGTCATTAATCCTTCAGCTTGAGTAGCTGCCGCAGTTCAGGTCACCCAGCTCTGTCAGAGCATGGAAGGAGAGCCTAAGAATATCAGACAACTGTCTTGTTGAGAGAAGCCACTCGTTAGGAGGCGTACACATCATTTCTCTTCTCTTGGGATAGCATAAACACAATTCAAATCAAGAGTCAACCCAAAACTTAGAGCGCACTGCTGTTCATTCCTTCGGTAAAGCATCCACCGCTGTTTCCTACTGCTTTGCCAGCTCCTGGTCTCTTTCATATTCAGGACCCCCGCCCCCCCTGCCCCCCCTCACTTCTCACTTTCACCAGGGGTTGCAAACTATTGGCTTTTGATTATAAACAGTTCCTAACTGTTCTCACTCCTTCTGTTAGCCATTCATTTTAAAACAATGTCTGGGCGTCCACAATTGATTGGCTAGAGAGAGACCAGTCATTCTTTGGACTATCTGGCTTTTTCTGTCTTCTTATCCTTCCTCTTTTGAGCTCTTTTTTCCTTCGTGCCTGCCTCCCTCTCTTCCTCCCTCCTTCCCTCCCTTCCTCCCTCCCTCCCTCCCCCTTCTCTCCCCCCTCCCTCCTTCCCGTCCTTTCCTAATGTATATGGTGTTTTGCCTGCACATGTGTCAGTATATCACATGTGTGCCTGGTGACTGGGGAGGCCAAAAGAGGGCAGCAGACCACCTGGATCTGGAGTTGCAGCTGACCGTGATCCACCCTGCGGGTGCTGGGGACTGAACCCTAGTCCTCTGTGAGAGCAGCCAGTGCTGTTACCCACTGAGCAGTCTCCCCGGGTCCCTTTTTTTCTTTTTAAAGTTAAATTTTACTGGGGTTATTTCTTCTTTATATCATATTCATTAGATAAATACCTCATTACTGAAAATGAGAAATTGGAGAAAGTCAGTCATTATGTAAGCTATCATCTCAGTGTATATTTTAAGTGATCCTTGTCGTTTTGAAACCGGGTCTCCCTGAGTAGCCCTAGCCAGTCTGGAGCGCACTACGTATACCAGGCTGGCATTGAACTTAGAGATACTCACCTGCCACTGCTTCCTGGGTATTGGGATTAAAGGTGTGCGCCACAGTGCCTGGCTTGTCCATTTTTTCTGTGTGCATGCATTTCTTCATTTTCATCGGTCTGATTACTTCCTTTAAACTATTTCAGTAAAATGCATGTAGCACGAACCTGACCTTTGTCATTCATCGGTCCCTCGTAGAGCGGAACTAATTCCTTTTAAGGGTAAATTTTTCTTCTCTTGCTTCTTGACCTTCTTTCTACATAGTGAGTGGAAAGCCTGAAGTATTCACATCTAATTTGATGCCCTCTGGTGTGGCTCTAGTCCCCTTAGCTTTTGTCCCATCCCCCTCCAACTCCAGTACAGTCAGCCCCTCCATATCCATGCTGTCTGTATTCAACCCACAACTATAGATCAAATATATATTTTTAAGTCACATGTATGTTACACGTATGTGTAACCTTGCTTGTCATGACTCTTTAAATGTTAATGTAGTATTAATGTAGCCTTTACATTGTATCAACAATCGTATATAATTTAGAGATAATTTAGAGCGTACAAGACCATGTGCTTGGGTTGTATGTTCAGGCGGATACTTCACTGTTTCTTAGAAGAGACAGTCCAGATGACGGACTTTGGTAGCTGCAGTGTCCTAGAACCAGTCCCTGCCCCGTGCAGAGGGAGGACTTCAAAATGTTGCTTCCACAGCTAATTGTTGGCATGCTGGTAAGTGCCAGGAGGATAGTGGGTGCTCACAGCTGCTGTAAATATTTTCAGTGGAAATTCTATAAATGGCTCGCTGACTCGCTGGGCAGCTTCAGTCTCCAGTCCTTTCCCCCGCTTCTCTCCTTTTCAGACAAGCTTTCATGTAGCCCAGGCTAGCCTAGAACTTGCTATGTAGCTGGAGATGATTTGAATGTGTGCTCTTCCTGTCCCCCCACCTTCCAAGTGCTAGGTTTTCAGGTATGTGCCCAGCATAGGTTTGTGGCTCTGGACACTGAAGCCGGGCCTGATACATGCTATGGGACTGCTGCTCTCAAAGGAGCTTCCCTTTTCTTTAAGAAGACTTTTAACTACATGTAGAAAAAACAGTAGAGTGATCTTTGACACACAGTATCATAATGACTTTCTAATATCCCTCCTAGAGGTATCTGTAGTTTTAGTGTGTGTGTGTGTGTGTGTGTGTACGTACACATGGCATGTATGGAGACTGTAAGAGTCAGTTCTCTCTACCTCCTCATGAGATCCGGGATTGAACTCAAGCCGTAAGACCTGTGCACAAGTACCTCTCTACCTGCTGAGCCATCTTGCCAACCCTCATCTGTAATTTTTTTTAATGAAGTCAAAAGAGATAATTTAACATAGACCATCCGTGGGGACCTAGAGACTTTGGTCAGAGACTGGGCCCAAGGGTGCTTTCAGGATGGTGTATAATTGTGACTCCTGCCACTGCTTTCTGGGGCTTTCCTGCTCATATTGCCCCCCTTCTGTGCAGGCGGCCCCCTGCCCAGTTCAGGCAATGAGCAGCATTCCTCAGCCTCCATCTTCGAGCACGTGGACAGGATTTCCCGAACCTCGGAGGCCAGCCGGCGGGTCCCCAGTAAGATCCAGCTTATTGCCATGCAGCCTATCCCAGCTCCGCCAGTGCAGCACCCTGTCCCAGCCGACCGAGTGGCAGAGACCAACAAAATCAACAAGGAGGTATTTGGTTCTCATGCAGGTGCATTAATTAAAAAGCTGGTGCCCTAATTTGGTCAGTGTTAGAAAATGAATGGAAGGTCCAGTATCAAGCACTTGCTGGAAGCTGGCACCACTCTGGTGTACCTGATTCAGAACACTACAGACTGGGTGCCACTCAGGCCTGTGATCCCAGCTCCCTGCAGGGTGAGACAGAAGGCTCACTCCTGGGATGCTCTGTCTGCACTGTAAGACCTCTCTCAGAATCGAAAAACAAAACACGACCACACCACACACACACACACACACACACACACACACACACTTATATATTTTTTTATTTTTGTAATGTTTTATTTATTCTTTGAATATTTGGTACACGCATACAGTTTGTCCATCCCTCTCCAACTCTCCCCAGACCCCCTAACCTATCTCCCACCTCCATGCTGCCTTCTCATCATTGTCATTAATCATAAGCCTGGTGCACTGGGCATGCACACGGGCAGCTTAGCAGTAGCCACACCCTTGAAGAAAAGGTGTCTCTTCCTCTGTCAGACATCATCAACTGTTTGTAGCTCCTGTGCCAGTGGTGAGGCCTCTGGAGCCCTCCCATGACCCACAATTGATTTTTTTTCAAACTGGGACACTATTTGGAGACAGTGATAAGTCCTGACAGGACGAGCAGAAGGCACTGAAGCAGCAGCCCTGAGGACTCGCTGCCTCAGCTGCCACTGGCTCTGGGACACTGGTGTTAGCCTGCAGATGACCAGGCTTCCGTAAGCTAGTGATCATTAGTGGACGGCTGGCTTTCTCCCACTCAGTGTAGGCGGTGGCCATTCTTTGTCACCTCCATGGGTGCCTCCATCAAGCCTACATGCAAGTGCACAGTTGGAGAAAAGGAACACACCTCTGAAGGGGCTTTACAGAGACTTGAGAAAGCACAGGAGTGATTTGCTCTTGTCACTCAGATCCAGTCGGCGCTGCGCCACAAGTCGGAGATAGAGCATCACCGCAACAAGATTCGCCTGCGTGCCAAACGCCGAGGCCACTACGAGTTCCCGGTGGTGGATGACCTGTCTTCCGGTGACACCAAGGAGCGACACCGAGTATACCGCCGGGCACAGATGCAGATTGACAAGATCCTGGACCCTGCAGCCAGTGTGCCCTCTGTGTTCATAGAGCCCAGGAAGAGGTAGGCTGGGGCCCTAGGGACGTGGTGGATAGGGAGAGTAGACACAGGCAGGAAGGAGGCTAGAGCCTAGGACAGAAATCCCGGTCAGATTCAGGTGACAGTCCGTGACAGAGGTTTCTGTGGAGGTAGGGTTGGCATGCAAGAAGTGGAGAGACTCACTCCTGGGGAAAGGAAGAAACTAGGGAGGAAGGGGATTCTTAGTCTCCACATCCCAGAGTTAGCAATCACAGATTGCTTCCTCAGTCTGATAAAACCTCGCACCATCCTCTTCTTTGTACAGCTGGCTTCCCTGACCCTACTTAGCTGTTCCTGTCCCTCCTCCTACTTTTCACCTCCCTTGCTTGTCTTCATTGCCTGGATAATCACGGTCGTGTGGAAGGTCTCCATGTTTGTTTTCCCACAGCCTCCTGTAGTCTCGGGTTCCCCCTTCCCATCTGCCAGCTTCTGACCCGTGTATTGATGTGTTTTCTGTAAACACACTGGGGCTGGATGAATAGCCAGTGGTTACGAGCAGTAACTGCTTTTCCACAGGACCTAGGGTTAATCCCCAGCACCTCCGTGGTGACTCTCAACCATCGTAACTCCAGTGCCAAGGGATCCAATGTTCCCTCTCTGCTGAACTCTTTGGGAACCAGACGTGCAGCCGGTTACACAGATGCACAGATGATTGTAGACAGAACACCTACATACGTAAAATATGGAGCTTGTCATTCTCTGTCCAGATCTGTACCCCGGAGGAGGCGGGGCCTTCCTCTCTCCTGTAGTTCCATATGCAGCCAGCCACACAGACAGAGCTGTGACTATAGTGGGTGGCTCTCATCTTCCCCCACAGCCAATTTTGGCCCTCAGCCTGCAGGGCTGGCACTTTCTAGTCTCTGCTCATGTCCCTCCTCAGCCTCAGGTCTGTTCATCAGTCACCTGGAAGATATTAACCTGTCTTGGCTGGGCCTGTTGGTTTTTGACCGGCTCTGTCATCCTGAGTACAGAATGCTTTGTTGTCTCTGTGTTAGTTAGGTCTGCTCTGTAGGGTCTAGACCATGGCTGTTACTTTGTCAGAATCTCTGGAGCTTTTTCTGTGGTAAGGTGACCAGCCCTGTGAGAATAATTTCTGTTTTTCCTATCAGTTCACGGATGAAACGTTCTCCTAAGCCACGCCGGAAACACCAGGTCAATGGCTGTCCTGCTGATGCAGAGAAGGACAGACTCATCACCACAGACAGTGACGGCACATACAAGCGACCCCCGGGTGTGCACAACTCTGCCTACATTGGATGCCCAGTATGTAACAACAAACCCTCGGGAAACATGGTGGGGGCTCTGGGCAGGGTGTCTTGGTAAGAGACGAGAGTGCACAGTATTGTCTGCCGCCCTGTACAAAGTGGATGCCAGGCCAGCAGGCCATGCAGCACCCAGAGTAAACTGAGTTGGGCACCTGAGCGGTGAAGCCAAGGAGCTGCTAGGTGACACGATGACCAGTCTCTGCATTCAGAATGGGAGCTGGTTGACGGTGATCGGAAGAGCAAGAGTGTCCAGGTTCTCTCTCTCTGCTCAGACGGGTGTTTGGGTTTCTTGGATGTTTCCTGTTTTGTCTGCATACCCCCACACTCTCATATCCCTGAGGAGCTAAGGAGAGAGTGAATCACTCAGTTCAGCCACACTGATCCAGATACTGAGTATGTTGGAATGTTTGTGTAGACTTTATCCGCTGAGCATCCTGGTAGGAAACGCTACAAATTTGAAATGTTCAGAATCCACAACTGAGTGTCATGTCAGCTCAAAAGGTTTCTGATTTCAGATTACATACATACATGTGTGTAGTATGTTATACATGTGTGTATGTATACATCTCTATATATGTATACTTCCCATGGGCAAAAGAGCTTAATGTAAATCAAAGAATGGGAACCTGGAGAGGCACACAGACAGCCTAGCTTGAGGTGATGAAGGCAGACATTGATACATTACACACTGAAATATACACACAGGCTCCATTCAGAAGGAAAGAAACCTAGCTTCCCAAGGGACCGTTAGCAAGAGACACGGAGATGCCCTGGGAAAGAGAAGGGGACTGATGGACACAGCTCACCAGCAGCAGCGGGGAGCATAAAGGACTCAGCCCTACTGTGCTGAGCAAACTTAGAGAGCCAGCTTTGCTTGTGACGTAACAACAAGCCTGTCCTCAGAGGAGGTACCGTGATTAAGACACAGTGGCCCTGGAGCACTGTTTATTTGAGGTTTCTGTTTTTTTTTTTTTTCCCTAAATGACACGTAACTAATATTGAAAAACATTCAAAAAGTTTATAAAAATGTGGCAAACACCATACAGACATTGACTAGAGTCTAATGTCATCAAGATCATCAGGAAGAAACAGGTTCCTCTCTGGGAGCTCTGACCTTTTATAACCTCATGAGGGTTCTTGTGAGCAATTGCTGCTAATTACAGATGCTCTGTAGAACAAAGGATCAAGTAGTTTCTCTTCCTTTCTCTGAACCTAGGGCCCCCTGACCATAGAGGAGCACGCACACACGCACGCACGCACGCACACCAGCTTTTCTGGCAATGGATGGGTGTTCTTGTTCTGCTGAAGCCTTTTGGAAGCATGTGTCCAAACACTGGTGGTGTTAGGCTCAGTCTGTAGAAACTGTCCTTGTAGGTCTTCAATATAGTCACCTGGTACTTTTGTAGAACTAGTAATAGAAACCCCATTCCTTCCTTACTCACACAACCTTTCTAGCAGCCTGGGCTCATCTTCTCAAAGGAGCCTGCAGGACATGCTTGTTTTCCAGCCCTTGAGTTTCAGCCTCTGACTGAATTCTCTGTAGAGTTTGGTTTTCCTTGGACTCTTCATTCATCTTTGTTGATGACCAACGCCAGGCTTCCCTCATGGTGTCCTGGACCCTCCTTTTGGGTTTAGCCCAATTTGGGGGAACAAAATCTTGCTATGTTGCCCAGGCTAGCCTCAAACTCCTAGCTCAAGAAATAATCTTTCCTGCTGGGACGGCAGGCAGAAGCCATGGTGCCTGTCTTGGGTTTCCTTTGTCTTCTCCATTTTCACCTTTCACAGAAAGTGCAAGGGTTTCCTCTGAGGTCTTTGTCTCTGAGGGCTGCCTTTCCAAAGATCCCCTGCTCAGAAAATACTCTCTGAAATTCTGTGATGTGTGTTTTAAAAATAATGCTTTTCTCAGAGTTTGTCTTTTACTAGCTAGACTTTTTTTTTTTATACCGTTAAGACTGTATGTGTACCACATAGTTTTAAATTATCTGGAATTTTTCCATTTTTCCTCTCAAAATAAGCTCTCCTTGAGAACTGTCCTCCAAAATCCTCAACCCCTTCTATCCAGTCATCTCTCAGGTTTAGGCCAGGAAGACCTCTGCCCTCGGGCCACATCCAGCCTGCTGCTGTGTTGGTCAACACTGGGCCTTTTTGTAAGACAGCTACACCCTCAGCATGCTGTCTTTGGCTGCTTTTTGAGTTGGGTTGTGACAGACTTTTATGACTTGCAGAACCTAAAATATTTATTGTCTGGCTCTTGACTGAAAGTTTTTGTTGGCTCCAGGCCTGCTGGTGCCCATCCATAGTCCCAGCTGCTTAGGAGGTGGCAGCCAAGCAGTTGGCTTTAGCCCAGGAGTTTGGAGGTAGGGAGAGAGAGAGGCCCTGTCTCCTTAAAACAACATCAGCAACAAAAAGCTACAAGGTTGATGACCCCTTACTGTCATGTAGTGTCCAAACCAGATGCTCCTGAAGAGAAAGGAAGTTCTATTAATGATTAAACCAGGGTAGCAGGCACAAATCTAAACCAGGATGTGAAGTCAGTCTTCTAAGAGCCCACTAAGTACTGCAAAATAGCCACTGCAAGACGTGACCTACAATGTCCTGTGTATGTCTGAAGAATGACAAAGGCAGGAATCTGTTGTAAAATGCCATCCTCTGGGCATGACACGGCCATGGCCATTTGAGATCAGAGCAGCTGTGTTTATCCTGAGCATCATGGGAGCAGGCCCAGGAAACTCAAGGCTCCTCCCTTAGGATTAATCATCGCCAGGATGAAAGTTTTCCTGCTGTCTGTCAGTTGCCCATGGCCCCTTTAAGTCTCACTTCTGTAAGGAAATCCAGGTTAAAGTTGGCTCACCAAACTACACTTAAGTCGGACTGATTTGGGTTTTGGTACCCTATCTGGGATGAGCTGGTGGTTGTCCGTGTCTGAATGAATCAGCACTGAAGCAGAATGGAATCAGCAGACCGAAAGTCAAGAGACTAGAATTTAAATTCTAACCCAAGCTTCCTTAGGAAACCTTAACTCCATGGGCTTTCATTTGTTGAGTTCCATCCCCATGTGATGGTGGGATGTGGGAAAGGGGACTCTTGACTTTCAAATTCTCAAGAGGCAGCAAGGAGACAGAGGCGTGGGAAGTTCTGACCTGTGGCTTTTTGTTGGTTTCTGGTAGGTTTTCTGTGCCAGTGGGAACCCAAAGGAACCACCCTTCCTTCCCAGTCTGAACCTGTCTGTCCTGCTCCAAAATTAAACTGTCTCTGTCTCTCCTTCTTTAAAGTATGACCAGGAGGGATGAGATGGGAGGGACCTAGAGTGTTGGGACTCTAGAGTATAGGTGAACACCATCCACTGGGGTCTTGGTGTGATTGGTGCACAGGTGCACGCACACACAAGGATTAAAATAAAATAAATCTTTAGCTGGGCATGGTGCTGTATGCCTTTAATCCAAGCATGCCTTTAATCTGACTACAGAGACAGGGGTATCACCATGTGTTCAAGGCCAATTGGTCTGCATAGGAAGTTCCAGGCTAGTCAGGACTCTGTAGAAAGAAGAAAGATTGGGGGTGTGGGGTGTGGGGGAAATACCACCTTGTTTCTCTGACTCTTATCTCTTAAACAGTGGGAACAGGACATTAAACTTTTCTTAGTTACTCAGATACCTTTATTTTAGAGACATGGTTTCTGAATATTTGTTAGTATTTTCTATTATAAACAGTTTTTAAATGGGTACTGAATTATTTATACACATACATGGTGTTTTCTTACTGTCAGTAGTCTACTCTGCCTTTTGGTTTTTACACCCATGGAAAGCTCCCTTTAGTGTGAGCGCTCTGGAGTCTGATTTGTGGCTGCTTAGGCTCTCTCAGTGAAGATGGCCGCCCGCAAGTCTGAAATCTATTTTACAGTTGAGTTTTACAGAAAATAAGTTGTGGAATAGTCTTATTTGTTTTTTCTCAGTTGTATTCTTTGCCTCATATAAAAATGAGATACCTATGAAGAGAGATGGTTTTTAATTCTATGACAAACCCTTTGCCACAAAGTAGGACCATTTTTAAATTCACTCTGCCCTAGAATTTAGCTTCACGCTCCACCCCGAGCCCCACAGAAGCACACATGTCATTCTTCCCTTGTCTCTCACACAGTCTGATCCTGACCTCCCAGCCGATGTCCAGACGCCCTCCTCTACAGAGCTGGGCAGGTATCCCGGCCTGCCCTTCTCAGCCTCTCAGTACATCCCACCTCAGCCATCCATCGAGGAGGCACGCCAGACCATGCACTCCCTCCTGGATGACGCCTTCGCCCTTGTGGCTCCCAGCAGCCAGCCCACCAATGCTGTGGGAGCAGGTTCTGGGGTGCCTGCCAGCCTGCCTGTGAATAGCACCCCTTCCAGGGATGAAAGGCGAGCCACGCAGTGGGGGTCCTTCTACAGTCCAGCTCAGACGGCCAACAACCCGTGCAGCGTAAGTACTGGACTGGACTGCTGAAATTTTCTCCTGGGCAAAGTGCTTGAGTTGTGTCACCTCACTGTTAGTTGAAGGCTCCCTGGGAAACTTGGGCTACATTTTACATGACTTAAAGCTTGCTTGATAGGTCTTAGCTTTTGCTTTCTACTACAATTAATTTTTAATGTTGGAAGCAGTCTTTCATGTAGCTCTGATATTTGAGAACAATGCAGTTGATATTCAAGGAAATCTCTTTCCAACTTCCTCCCAGGGTCATGAAGTGGGGGATAGATTGTCAGGCGTGTTCTCATTGATTTCTGTAAAGGAATCGAATTGTTTAACTTGTTCTTGGACTACTTAGTCCTAGAGTGCTATTCTAAGCACAGACAGGGACAACTGTTTGCAAGTATCAGCTTCCCATCCTGGCTTTTGTTGAGGTGGGTAGGTCTTTCTTTAAAGCTTATCAATCTTTTTTACCATTAATATTTGTTAGCATAGAAGGTATTGAATTTCAGGCCGGACAGAGGTGGCACACATCTTTAATTCTAGTACTCAGGAGGCAGAGGTAGGTGGACCTCTGTGAGTTCAAGGTCAGCCTGGTCTGCAGAATGACTTCCAGGATAGAGAAACCCTGCAAAGCAAACAAAGTGTCTTTGCATATCAATGCTGCGTTATGTAAATAAGCCATACTGGATAACTCAATATGATATAACAAACAAGACAACAGGCTTCCTCTTTCATAGATGTTAGCTGCAAACTAGGCATATAAGCGGTAAGTCAGTTAACTTCATTAAAATAGGCTTTACTACATGCTAGGCTTACTGTTCAAGACCACCCTGACAGCTCTACATATCTTGCTATTACAAAAGTGACATTTTAATATGATCTAAAATAGGTGAATCACTGACTGCAAGGTTAAAGAAAATAGTCTAAAAGAAAGAGTCTCTTGTAGCCCAGGCTGGCCTGGAGTATGTTCTGTTGCCCAGATGACCGTGAACTTTTGATCCACTGCCTCTACTTCAGATTCTGTGGTTGCATCTCTGTCACCAGCCTTGTTTTACAAGGGGTTTCTGGGAAATTGCTGGAGATCAAACCCATGTTAGGCAAGAGTCTAAAGTTTTTAGACAGGGGATGAAGGACAATAATTTTAGAAGGAGAAAAAACAAAATCAAACAATAGAAACAATTGTTGTGATTAATAAATGCAAAAGTTAGCTAGGCGATGGTGGTCCATGTCTTTAATCCCAGTGCTTGAGAAGCAGAGGCAGATGGATTACTGTGAATTTGAGGCCAGCCTGGTCTACAGAGTGAGTTCCAGGACAGCCAGGGCTACACAGAGAGGTGGTAAAAAAAGAAAAAGAACAAGAAGAAAAAAAGAAAGAGAGAGAGAGAGAGAGAGAGAGAGAGAGAGAGAGAAGCTACTACTTTGAGAATTGCTTTTATTGTATTTATTGTATTTCCAGGAATCGTGCTTAGGTCATACTTGTAATAGGCAAATGGTCTGCAATTGGGCTACATTCCTAGCACAAATTGCTTTGACTCTGTTTTACTTTGTTTGAAAAACACAAAACACAAAACCAACCATGGTGGTAGTTATTAAATACAGGATCCTGTTCACACTAGGCATGTAAGTAGTCGTTAACACTGCCTACATCCAGACCATCTCTTAGTAAGTTAACGATACACTGACCAGATGAACCAACCATTCATTTGCTAAAGTTTTACCCAGAAGCTTCTCTTTTTCCATTGAAAGCCTTTGTATCATAGCAGCTTTATTCGCCCAGTTTTAAATTTTAATTTAAAAAATCGACTCTGATAACACCCAGAAAAATCCCAAGACTTGACAGATGGGATTACCTGGAATTGAAAAGTTAAGGCACAGTAAAAAAAGCAATCAGCAGTGTGAAGAATCGGTTTAGGGTATGGGAGACAATCTTTGTCAACCATACCTGGAGGCTCACAACTGTCTGTAACTCCAGTTCTAGGGGACCCAGTGCCTTCCGGCCCCTGCTGACACTACACCTATGTGCTCCATAGAGGCACATACAGGCAGAATACCCTTATATAGAGAGTCAAAAACAAATTATAAGTAATTAATTGAAAAACTCGGATCGTCACTTGCTGTTGGAGGACCCCAGGAGCATTCCAAGTTTTAATAAGAAAACAGTTCTTGCTGGACTTGCCATTAATCGTAGGACTTGGGAGACAGAGGCAAGTGGATTTCTGTGAATTCCAAGCCAGGTTGGTCTATGTAGTGAGTTCCTGGACAGCCATGACTATGTAGAAAGACCCTATCTCCAAACAACAAAAACGAACAACAAACAGAACAAAAAGCAGTTCTTGCTATTATTGTAGCACATTCTCTAAATCCCAGCACCTCAGAGGCAGAGGCAGGTGGATCTCTTGAGTATAGGACTAGCCTGTTCTACATAGCAAGGTCCTGGCTAGCTAAGGCAATATAGTAAAACACTCCTTAGTAACAAGTATAGTAATATTTCTGCAAGTTGACCCTAAAGGCCTAAGTTTAATATTGTCTTTTCCTTCTTTCCTTTCTCCCTCCCTGCCTTTCTCAATGTAGCCTTGGCTGTGTTGGAACTGTAGACCAGGCTAGCCTCAAACTTGCAGAGATCTACCTGCCTCTGCCTTCCAAGTGCTGGGACTAAAGACATTTACAATCTCACCTGGCTTGATATTATCATTTTCAAATAAATTATTAAATGTTTATCTCTGTGTCCTTTTGAATTTTTTCTAGAGATATGAAGACTATGGGATGACTCCCCCATCGGGCCCATTGCCAAGGTAAGGTTTCAAGAAGAAATCCCATCATGGCTTTCTCATGGAGGCTATTGTTTTTTTTATTTTATAGACTCAGTTTTCAGTTAATTTGAGCACCTAGCAAATTAGCTTGTGAATTTTCTTGATTTTACCAGAAGAAGAGGGAAAATATTGGAGTTTGGGAGATTACTCAGTGGTAAAAATGCTTACTGCCCAAGTATTAGGGCTTGAGCAGGCACGATGGCTCTGTGGATAAAGATGCTTGCCCCAAAGCCTGGCTACCTGATTTTAGTCCCAGAAAGCAACAAAGTAGAAGGAAGAGAACTGACTCCAGCAAGCTGCCCTCTGATCTCCTCATGTGTGCCATGGCTCATGTGTTCACACATAGTTCTCACACGCGAGCATGCGCACACACACACACACACGTGCACACATGTGCGTACATACACATGCGTGCATACACACATACACACGAGCACGTGATATTAGAATTTAAGTTCTACTACCACGTGAGAGATGGGGGACAAGAACCAAGAAAGGATGAATTAGACAAAAGAGGACTTTGTGAAAATGGAAACATTAAAGCCCACTTTTACTCATGTAAAACAAAGGTAGAAAGACTCTGAAACTAAATATTCACAAACATCCAGCAATATATAAAAAAGAGATATTACAACAAATTTGGATTGATTCTAGCAACATGAGGGTGATTTAGCATGTTAAGAACCAAGCTGTGTAATGTACTCCTTCAAAGCACACAAAGGAAAAGCCATTTCAGTAGATACAACATGTGACAAAAGTCAACATCCATTCATGGCAAGAGTCTTAGCACACAAAACAGGGGAGCTTCTCTGTTCCGTGAAGTATTCTGCCAATGAGCTCTGAGCTTGCTCAGTAGACTTGCTGAGTAGAAGTCACCCTTGAATTGAAAATATTTTATGAGCAAGAAGTTACTATTAGATTACATAATGAAAAAAATATTGAAAAATATATCAAAAACACATTGAAAAATCAGGTAGTGTTGGGGCTACAGAGATGGCTAACAGTTAAGAATTCTTATAAAGAATCAGGAATCAGTTCCCAGCACCCACATGGTGGCTGAAGACCCTCTGTGACTCCAGTTTCAGGGATTCAGTGTCCTTTTCTGGCCTCACAGGGCACCAGGCTTACACATAACACACACACACACACACACACACACACACACACACACACACACTCACTCACAGAGGCAAAAAGTCATATACATGAAATTAAATCTAAACAGAGAAAATTTTTAATTGGATAGTAACAGACCTGTCTAGGAAGAAGAATTCCGTCTTGCCTATTCAAGTGAAAATTATGTATTTGTTAAGTTTTACCTCCTGCAATTGTGAACTTGACAGTGTCCTCATCCCTACAGGCTTTTCTGGATGAGCTCGATGGCTTTTCTTACTGTTAAGTGTGCCTGCATCTGTACACTCTATAATTTGCATTTTCCAAAGGACAACGTCACCAGACAGAGAAGTGGGTTTTAATGGAGTAGAGAATAGAAACCCCTTCAGAGTCCTGTGTCACACTCCACCTCTAGTTTCAGTGTGGTATCAGTGTGCGAAATGATGATCTGAGTATTTCCTAAAAAGATCTTAGCATCCCCCCTACAAGACCACACTCTGTGTGGCCAGAACCTTCTAGAGTAACACGTCAGCTGACTAAATATAAGATGCATGAAAAACTGCTGTTTGGGGGGATTTATTTTTTACTTTAAAAATGATTTATTTATTTTTATTTTATGTGCATTGGTGTTTACTTGTATGTATGTCTATGTGAGGGTGCCGGATCTCCTGTAAGTAGAGTTACAGACAGGTACAAGCTGACATGTGGGTGCTGAGAATTGAACCCAGGTCTTCTGGAAGAGGACCCAGTGCTCTTAACCACCAAGCCATCTCTTTACCCCACTTAGGTTTATTTTTGTTTGTTTGTTTGTTTGTTTTTAAATGAAGTGTGCAGGATGTCTCCAATTTTGTTAAAATGACTGCAGAACCTGGAAAAGCTATTGCTGCTGTTGCTGCGTGTCACACTGCTGTCACTGGTCTTTAAAAGACAAAGCAGGCTCTATTCTTAGTGACCTGGGCTCACTTTGTAGACAAGGCTGGCCTCAAAACTCACAGAGATCCACCTGCCTCTGCCTCCCAGGTGCTGGGATTAAAGGTGTGAGCTACCACAGTTCCACAGTTGGCCTCTTACTGGTCTTTTATGTATGACCAGTAATAAAAATCTATATATTAGTAATATATATATTACTGTATATATACTATATTTGCATCTATATAACTTGAAGTTTTGGAAACTTTAGCTGTGCTGTCAACTTTGAAAAGAAAATAACCCCAGTCTACCATGCTGACTTAACATTGTACAAAAATCATCATTCATATTGGTCTAAAAAGTTAGACGTATGTTCTCCACTTTGTACAGGGGTAATATGCTGTATTAAATATGTAAGGTGAGATAAGGCTCTAAGGACTTGAACACAGAAACTAACAGCGTGTTCTCTAGATAAAGCTGTGTGAGAATCTAGATGTCCTCTGTGGGGGGCATTTGAACCAGATCTAAGGTACTACTCACTAATTTGGAGGTGACTGAAGATGATAGTTTACTTCATGAGGACTGATATGCTAGCATGAATAGGTTAGTAGGTTTTGTTTTTGTTTTTTTTTTTCGAGACAGGGTTTCTCTGTATAGCCCAGGCTGTCCTGGAACTCACTCTGTAGACCAGGCTGGCCTCGAACTCAGAAATCCGCCTGCCTCTGCCTCCCAAGTGCTGGGATTACAGGTGTGCGCCACCACTGCCCGGCTAGATTAGTAGCTTGAATAGATGTTTATAATAAGTGTTTTGAAGTGGTCTTAGTTTTAACATATAATAGTATTAGTTAATATTAAAGGATAGAGTCCACATAAACAAAAGGTCTTACACGCCCTCGAGAGTGTTTTATTCTAAGTTTAAAGGGCTTCAGAACTTTAAAAGTTTGAGGACACTTCCTTAGACTGGCTTTCAGTCTAGCTGGACAAGGGAGCTTGTCTGTAGAGGTTTCCTTTAGAAAACAAAGTCCCTCAAGTATATATCCAGCAACTCATGTCTGGGTTGCATCTTTCTGGGGTCTAAAATGGGTACCCAGACTGAAAAGCAAGGCTCTGGTCACATGCCTCTCCTTTCCTCTCCTTTCCTCTCCCCTCCCCTCCCCTCCCGTCTCCTCCCCTCTCCTCCTTCTCCTCCCCTCCCTCCTCCTCTCTCCTCCTCCCTCTTCCTCCTCTCTCTTTTCTTCTCATGGCAGTCTTTCAGACTTAGCACTGAGGTAGGGCCCTGAACAAGCAGGAAGGTTGTGCTCCTTAGGCAGCCAGAGACTATCCTATATCCCTGGAAAGAAGATGATTACTTGAAGCTGTTTTAATCGCTGTAGAGGGTAGTCGCCTAATACAATCCCAGAGCCAGGGTAAGGGGTTTGATGTGTGCTGTGCTCTCCCAGCAGACCTAGCTTTGGCCCAGGGTTGCTGCCGTCTTCAGAGTTGGTCCCCCCTGAACTCCCACAACCACAGTCATCAACTGATGCTCCGTATGCTGCCCGAGGGATCTACTCAGAAGAGATGCCGTCAGTGGCCCGGCCTCGGCCTGTTGGGGGCACCACAGGTGGGTACGGTGATGGAGCTTGTATTTCTGGGTGGTAGGACACTTGCTTTAGTAGTCAGGGAGATGGGTCAGCAGGTAAAGACACTTGCTGCCAAGCTAGTATAGCTGATCCACTAGCTTCCGACTCGCTCCCTTGTCTTTCCCTTCCATCTCACCTTAAGCTGGGATTACAGATGTGTGCTGCCCCATCTGGCTTTTTAAATAGATTCTGGGACTCAAACTCAAGTGGTCAGGCTTTCATGCCAAGGGCCTTTACCCACTGGATCTTTTCTTATGGTTAGTTCTGCTGGTTAGGCCACCAGAGGTGGAACAGTGGAACAGCTCTGAGACCCTGTAGGGTTTCAGTAGGGGACACTGCTCTTTGGAGGACAAGCAGCGCCACCACAGCTGTACCTGGGTTCACTATGGCATCTGTGGGTGTTGCTCCAGCAGTTTACCCAAGCTTCAGACTCTCTTCATGACTGGAGCTCATGAAGAGCTCGTGCTCTGAGATCTGTTTGTGAGTGCTGTCCTGTGTTTCCAGTGCATCCGTGTTGCTTGAGATCATGAGGCCTTGCCAGGCTCATCCTGTTTCTTGTATATTTTGCAAAGTCACCTTGGTGTGTTTTATGGCTTAAGCCCCTTCATTCTGTTGGGTACCCTCCTACCCCCAATGACTTCCTCTCCCTCCTCTATGAAGCCCAGAGCTTCTTTCTGCAGAATATATACTTCTTTGATGCCATCAAGAAAGTAGTTTATGTGAATTCCAAATTTCAGTGATTGGTAAATATCTTAGTCAAAGTTCTGTTGCTATGAACAGACGCCATGACCAAGGCAACTCTTATAAAGGAAAACATTTCATTGGGGCTGGCTTACAGAGGTTTAGTCCATGATCACCATGGTGGGAAGCATGGCAGCATGCAGGCAGACATGGTGCTGGAGGGGTAGCTGAGAGTTCTACATCTGGATCCACAGGCAGCAGGAAGAGAGAGACACTGGGCCTGGCTTGAGCATTTGAAACCCCAAATCCCAACCCAGTGTCACACTTCCTCCAACAAGGCCATACCTCCTAAGGGACCACTCTTTGGTAACCAAGCATACAGATGTATGACCCTGGGAGCAGGGGGAGAGGCTATTCCTATTCAAACCACCACACTAGATATTTTTTTCCATCATGTTATTCTAGGAAATTCTTGTATTTTTTTATGGTCTGTCATCCACAGAACAATGTATCCTGATGTTCTGTGGACTTTCTCATACATTCCAAGTCCTATTCTTTGCCTGGAACCTCAGTCTTCCTGTGTCACATGTATATTTGGGCCTTGCTGCACTGCACACATGCTAACCAAATTCAGATGCATTAATTTCTATTAAAAAAAAAAACTCAGCCAGGCGGTGGTGGCACATGCCTTTAAACCCAGTACTTGGGAGGCAGAGACAGGTAGATTTCTGAGTTTGAGGCCAGCCTAGTCTACAGAGTGAGTTCCAGGACAGACAGGGCTACACAGAGAAACCCTGTCTTGAAAAACCAAAAAAAAAAAAAAAAAAACCTCCATAGAAATGCCCCAACCCCTACCCTTGCCACTCTACAGTGGGCAGGTGAGCTGACCATGAGGTCATGAAAGTCAGAGAGCTGGCCCTGCCCCTCGCTAGTTGCAGCACTTAGGAGAGTGGAACCTAGACAACACAGTAGAGGTGACCCTAGTGACAGGTGCAGGTGAGCCAATCTGAGGGTGTCAGCATGGGAGAGCTACTAGCTCTGCCCTTCCTGTGCTGTGGGGTAGCATGGGCAAGGGAGAGATGTGCCCCCACCCCACACCAGCCTCTTCCTGCCTGCAGTAGGTGGGTGAGCTCATCCTGAGGTCATGGGAGCAGGAGAGCTGGCCCTGGTTTTGCTGGCTGAAGCATTGAGTGAGCTAGCCAGGATAGTGATGGAAAAAACACCCTGGTGGTCAGGATCCAGGAAAGCTGGCAGGCTGACTAACTTAGCTACCACCCAGGCCCAGATCCAGGGCTGTGACTTGGCCCACCCCAACATCTATTCCAGTTATGATCTTCTGGAACATGAAAGGTCCAGTCCTGCAGCTTTTGATCTGGAGGATCTCCATGACACAGGGAAACAACAAAGTATTCTAGAGAAATCTCCACGAGGATCTGGTGTAGATAATACGGCAGAAGCCAAAGGCCTCGAAACAGACCAATGACTCATTGCAATAAACATTTGCAAGTAAAGATGTGTGGACAAAAGTGTATCCTGTGACACACTACAGCTTCCAGGACAAGAATTTTTTCTATTTATCTATCTTATTTTTTCTTCTTTTGCAGGGGAGGTTGCAAGGGCAGAGGGTGGATTCAAGGGGGGTGGGGAGATGGTAGGATTGGGCTATATATGTGAAATTCAAAAAAAAGCATCAATAAAAAGTTAAAAAAGGAAAAAAGAAACTCCCATAAACATAGAAGTTGTATATGTCAAATATTCAAGAACAATCTGCCTTCCAATAATTTCTAACAAGAGATGATATTATGTAAAATGCTTTTAATGGGAAATGTTACTCTCAGAAGAATTTTAAAAAGATTTTTAAAAAGTTTTAATTTTATGTATCTGGGATTTTGTCTGTGTAAGTCAGTCTGTGCACATATGTGGAGTGACTGGGGAGGCCAGAAGAGGGTGTTGGATATGTTGAACCTGTAGTTACAAAGAATTGTGAGCCATCTTGTGGGTGCTGAGATCTAAACACAGGTCCTCTACAAGAGAGCTTAAGTGCTCTTAACTGATGAGCCATATCCAGCTGCTAGAAATACTTTTTAATTATAAAATGTCACAAATGTGGGGCTGGGTATGTAGCTCGGTTGATAAAGTACCTCCCTGACATATAGAAGGCCCAGGATTCATTCCTTGGTGCTGCGTAAACCATGTACGTGCCTACAAGCCCAGCATAAGGAAGTAGGGGTAGAGGGACCAGTTCACAATTATTCTTAACTGAATAATGAATTCAAGACTGGCCTGGGCTATACAACACTGTCTTAACAACAACAAATTATCAAATGTGTGTTTTTAGAAATTACCAGAAGCTGGCTATAGTGTTTTACACCTTTAATCCTAGCCCTTGGGAGGCAGAAGCAGGCAAGTGAGTCTGAGGTCAGCCTAGTTTCCATAGTGAGTTCCAGGACAGCCAGAGGTACATAGGAAGACCTTGTCTCTAAAGATAAACAAAAGAAAAATAGGGGGAAAATCTCTGTAAGATACTATGATAAAAAGCTCATAATAGAAGATCGATCATAAAAATTGACAAGTGAGGAACCTTCAGAAGGCATGAGAACAGGAAGAAGGAGTTCACAGATGTGTAGAGATGCGTGTGTGTGAGCATATGTGTGTATATGTATACATGTGTGTATATGTATGTGTAGGCATGTGTTTATGTGCAGGCATGTGTACATGCGTGCAAGTTCATGCATGCATATATGTGTGTGTTTATCATATGATAAAAGAAGTGAAAATAGCCTAGTTTCAAAAATAAGAAATATAGATTAAATTAACAGGACACATGACACAACCATGAAATTGTCTTCATAGAAATGAGATAATTAAATTTACATTCAGTTTTTTTTCACTTGGTTCTGAGCTCCTAAGTTGTTTGGAGCATTTAACAAGATGGCGAGTGTAACGTGCCCCCAACAGCGCCCCCCCAACAGTACTTGGTGCATCACCCATCCTCAGTCCATATCCACTTCACTGTTAGTGTTGTCATTGGATTCTGACTGTTGGTGGCCATTTATTGTTCTCACTGCTGACTAAAGCAACTCAAGGAAGGAAGGCTTTGCTTTGGCTCACAGTCTGAGGGTACCAGTCCATCTTGGTGGGGGGTAGGGTAGGGGGAGAGTGTGGAGCAGCTGGTACACACTTAGGAAGCAGAATCATAATAGTGTAAAGCTTTTGAGATCAGTGTGCAAGTGGAACTCATGGGCCTTTGGTTTGGTAAAAATATTTTTTCTTGGAATACACAGTCTCTGTTCCCAAATCCAAAATACCGAGGGGAAACCAATGTGGCGTCAACATGCTAAGCACACCATTATTCAGAATAGGAAGAAAAAATGGGAAACTACCTCCTTAGATATCGAGTGAGTAAGTGGCAAAGCTATTTATTGTTATTTAATTACCTAATTAATTAGAGACAAGGTTCCTTTGTGTAACCCTGGCTCTCTGGGAACTATCTCTGTAGACCAGGCTTGCCCCGACCTCACAGGGATCTGCCTGCCTCTACCCCATGAGTGCTGGATTAAAGCTGTGTGCCTCATTTTTTGTATCCATTCCTCTGTTGAAGGACATCTGGGTTCTTTCCAGCTTCTGACTATTATAAATAAGGCTGCTATGAACATAGTGGAACATGTGTCCTTGTTATATGTTAGAGCATCTTCTGGCCCAGGAGTGGTATAGCTAGGTCCTCAGGTACTGCTATATCCAATTTTCTGAGGAACCACCAGACTGATTTCTAAAGTGGTTGCACCATCTTGCAGTCCCACCAACAATGGAGGAGTATTCCTCTTTCTCCATACCCTTGCCAGCATCTACTATCACCTGAGTTTTTGATCTTAGCTATTCTGACTGGTGTGAGGTGGAATCTCAGGGTTGTTTTGATTTGTATTTCCCTGATGACTAAGGATGCTGAACATTTCTGTAGGTGCTTCTCAGCCTTTCAAGTTTCCTCAGTTGAGAATTCTTTGTTAAGCTCTATACCCCATTTTTTAATAGTGTTATTTGGTTCTCTGGAGTCTGTTTTCTTGAGTTCTTTGTATATATTGGATATTAGCCCTCTATCAGATGGAGGATTGGTAAAGAACAATGGAGTATTACTCAGCTATTAAAAACAATGAATTCAAGAAATTCTTAGGTAAATGGATGGAACTAGAAAATATCCTGAGTGAGGTAACCCAATCACAAAAGAACACATGTGGTATTCACTCACTGATTATTGGATATTAGCCCAGAAGCTTGAAATACCCAAGATTCAACTCACAGACTATATTAAGCTCATGAAGAAGGAAGATGACGGGGGGGGGGGGTGCTTCGGTCTTTCTTAGAAGGAGTAACAAAATACTCAAGGGAGCAAATATGGAGACAAAGTGAGGGGCAGAAACTGAAGGAGAGGCCATCTAGAGACCGTTCCACCTGGGTATCCATCCCATGTGCAGTCACCAAAGGTAGACACTGATGTGGATGTCAGGAAGTGCATGCTGACAGGAGCCTGATATAGCTGTCTCCTTAGAGGTCTGAGAGAGTCTGACATATTCAGAGGCAGATGCTCACAGCTAACCTTTGAACTAGTTGATCACGGGGTTCCTAATGGAGGAGTTAGAATAAAGAGTGTAGGAGCTGAAAGGATTTGCAGCCCCATGAGGAGAGCAACAACACCAACCAACCAGAGCTCCCGGGGTCTAAATCACCAGCCTGGGAGCACATAGGGAGGGACCCATGGCTCTAGCTGTATATGTAGGGGAGGATAGCCCTGTTGGGCGTAGGTGGGAGAGGAGATCCTTGGTCCCATGAAGGCTGGATGTCGTGTGCAGGGGAATTCAAGGGTGGGGAAGTGGGAGTTGGGGGGTAGATAGGGGCACATTTGCAGAGAAACAGGAAGGTCGATGGGATAGGGGGTTTCTGGGTGGGGCCAGGGGGAAAATGGGGTAAGAGGATAACATCTGAACTGTAAATAAAATATCCAATAAAAAAAAGCTGTGTGCCTCCACCGCCGTGTGCAGCTATTTTAAACAGAGACCAAGAAAGGCTTGAAGTGATTTAAGATTCTACATGTTTGGTGTTTGATCCACCTCGTACCTTCTGTTCCTTGAAATAGCCCTCTGAGGTGACTGGGACTCTGAGGAACTGATGTCCAGTAGGGACAGGAGCCAGAGCCTGGAGGACACACGGCTTGTCAGTGGCTGGGGATCTGCCAGGCTCTGAGTCAGCTAAAGCCTCCATTGTTCTGTTAAGAGATCAAAGCAGGATTCAGAGTCAGGCCTACAGTATGATTTCAGCCCTGGTGGTTTAACACAAAAGCTGTGCTTTAATCCATTCTTGGGCTACATCTGCAACCCTTCAAAAGATGAGCTCGGCCTGTGTCTGTGGGATAGATAGTACTGATGTCGGTCGGTGATTTTCATGCTGCCGGGTCTGTCCAGTTATAGATCAGGAAGCTTGTGTGCCCTGGCTGAGGCCCACACTTTCTTTTCCTGACCCTCAGTTATTGCTGTATGTCCAGATATAACCACTAAAGACTTCTTTTAAAGTGTCGTCTATTAGTTAAGGGTACCTGGACGTCGTGGGATGCAGGCTGAAATGGGGAGGCCGTATCAAGGACCCTCAGAGAGCTTCTGTGCTACGGAGAGATTGGATGATCCTGGCAGTGTTTAGAATCATTTCACAAGGCTCAGAGAGCATGTTTGAGGCGCTGGGATGTAGCTCACTAGTAGAGCACCAGCCTAACAGATATAAGATCTGGGCTCAGTCCTTAGCACCACCAAAAAAATAAAATAGAGACCCTTTATTTTCTTCCTTGATTACAGTGTCGAGTATTTCCATGTGCCAGATGCCGACAAAAGAGAAGGACACAAACACTCAGCTTTCGGAGCCACACCCAAGCTAATGTCTGGGTGTAGAGACTTAGCCCCAGAAAGATGCTGGCTTTGCCTTCACTGCTGCTTGCCTAAGCTAGTGGGCGGGGTTACTTAGTTGTGGCTGCTATGGAAACAGCATTCTGAATTTAAATAATTTTATCACCTGCTTTGTGTGTGTGTGTGTGTGTGTGTGTGTGTGTGTGTGTGTGTGTGATTTTTCAAGACAGGGTTTCTCTGTGTATCTCTGGCTGTCCTGGAACTCACTCTGTATACCAGGCTGGCCTCGAACTCAGAAATCCGCCTGCCTCTGCCTCCCAAGTGCTGGGATTAAGGGTATGCGCCACCACTGCCCGGCTATCACCTGATTTTAAAGAAAAAAACACATCATATATTCAGGTCCTTGAGCATCTCAGAACTATAAGCAGGAAGGTACCAGGCCTTGGTTTCTTCATGGTTTACCGGCTTCTTTATAGCCTTAAAACATTTTTCCCTTTCAAGGCACCTTCTGTGATCCCTGATCCCAGGCATCTGATGATGGGAAGTTAGGAGCCTTGCATCAGCATCACGTTGAGAGGGAATCAACGCAGCTCTCTTGCCTGCTTTCCTAGGAAACGCCACTTCTGAGGATGTTCAACATCAGCACAGATTGCACGCATGCTCAGAGGAGCCCGTGGTCAGACCTGGAGGTGTGGTCAGACCTGGAGGCGTCGTCCTAGGCAGCCTCCCTGTGTATGTCCTGCAGATGCTGACCAGGTCTCTGCTGTGTGTTCCTTTCAGGCTCCCAGATCCAGCATCTGACACAGGTGGGAATTGCAAGCAGAATTGGGGCCCAACCAGTAGAAATTCCTGCCGGCAGAGGCAGCCAGTATGGGGGACCAGGCTGGACTGTATACGGGGAGGAGGAAGCAGGACGAAGAGAAGCCGTGAGTATCTGGGGATTGGGTGGGGAGCTAGAACTCACACACAACCACTCCATGTTGTTGCTTCTGCTTTGACACTCTTTAAAAGCTATGCTAAACACAACTTGCAGCCCCCACTCCTCTTGCTTTGGCTTGGTTGTGCTTGCAGTTTGGTAAACTCCCCTCCACTTTTGGAATGACTGTGGTTCTTACTGAGGCAGGTTTTAGACGTGGATCTGAATAAAATCCAGACTACTTCTAAGGTGTGACCACTGTAGCTGTCAGGACCTTACTTTTTCTGTATCCTCACTGGCTGGCTAATGACACTTCTATCTGGACCATCACCTGGGAATGGTTTAGTGATAAGTACACGACTTGGGACGTTTCAAGGCATCCATTGTCCACTGGGTTTCTAGTTACTTAGCATGAGCACCGTTAATCTCTGCGAGGACTTTTATTTTGTGAAGAATTTTATGTGGCTGGAGAGACCGTTCAGTGGTTAAGAGCCCTTGCTGTTCAATCATGAGGACCAGCATTTGAATCTCAGAACCCTTGTCCAATGGCTCGGAAATACCAGTAACTCCAGCTCTGATGGATCTGATGCCCCCTACTGGCCGTAGTGGGAGCTCACCTACACACATACATGCATTCACACAGGTGTACACACACACACACACACACACACACACACACACACACACACACACAAAAGTAAATAGATTTTAAGCCGGGCGGTGGTGGCGCACGCCTTTAATCCCAGCACTTGGGAGGCAGAGGCAGGCGGATTTCTGAGTTTGAGGCCAGCCTGGTCTACAGAGTGAGTTCCAGGACATCCAGGGCTATACACAGAAACCCTGTCTCGAAAAATTGAAAAAAAAAAAAAAGAAAGAAAAAAAAAGGATTGTTTGCTAGACTTATAATCTCAGGTGCTTATAGTGTAATGACAGTTTTCTATTGCTAATGTGCTCAGCTTCGTCTCGTGAAGCATTGTAGGTTTTCTGCTGGATTTGGCAGTGATCACTGGGAAGAATTTCCTCCACTGTGTGGGGAAGGGAAATGTAGAAACAGTCGGCTCTCGGAGGCCGTGTTTGCCTCGAATTTAGAACGCTGACTTAGTGTACCGACCTACACACTGATTTAGTCATCGCCTATAATTTAGTGCACCGACCTGCGATTTAGCACACTGAATTGCACACACTGGTTTAGTTTACTGACCTGAGATCTTTTTTTTTGGTACTACCAAAAAAAAAAAAAAAAAGAAAGAAAGAAAGAAAAAGAAAAGAAAAAAATTACCGAAATGTAATCATTCTTGCCAGAACAATGCCAAATCAATTTATAGCCTGCCAATTTCAGAAGAACTAATGTCTTCTAGTAAAAATAGCCTCGTTTCCCAAAAGGCACTAAAAGGTGCATGATAGAAAACAGTTGGATAGGGTGGATTGAGGCTGGGTGTGGAGGGACATGCCTGTGATCCCAGCAGCTGGGAAGAGAAGGGAATGACCGGTTGTAAGGATAAGGTCCTTGGCCTTGGCCTCTGAGTCCCAGTGTGTTCCCTGGGCACTAGAACGGACACTCGGGTTCTTATCTTGCCCTTTGCTGGTGCTCTCTTAGCTGCCCTAACTCAGGGTTATCGTGGGTGCTCCCCTAACTTATCCTCTCCAGCTCCCAGATCTCTCTGTTCTGCCACGAACCAGAAGCCCTGCAGCAGCTCCGTGCTGCTCCCACTCACTCTACAGCCCACACACAGGGATTCGGGTGACAGGGACCACGCTGGAGAGCTGAGGGAGTGGGTGGAAGGCGGTATCCCCAGTGTTAATTACCTTTTTTCTGTTGTTCTCACATGGGAAGTGTAATAACGTTTACCATGTCTTTCAGACCCACATGCTCGGACATCAAGAGTATTCTTCTCCACCGCTGTTTCAGGTGCCAAGGACTTCGGGCAGAGAGCCCTCAGCCCCTCCCGGGAACCTCGCCCACCGAGGGCTGCAGGGCCCTGGGCTGGGTTACCCCACCAGCTCCACAGAGGACCTCCAGCCCGGCCACTCCTCCGCCTCCCTCATCAAAGCGATCCGAGAGGAGCTCCTGCGGCTCTCTCAGAAACAGGGCTCAGTACAGAACTTCCACAGCTGATCAGCCGCCCTTGCAGGTTTGCCAAGTATCTGCTTCCTGTGGAAGCAAGACCAAAAGGAAATCAACTGAGTGGGTGTTTGTAAGAGTCGGAAGCAGCATCGCCGGGCAAGCTGCCCGAGAAAGGGAACAAGTTGCAATGTTAGAAGATGCCATAAAGTCACATGGACAACTCATGGTACTTTTACTAGGTTGGCAATTTGATGACCACTTGGGTTCAGTCAAAATGTGTGTACTTCGGGCCAAAAGCGCCAGCACTTACACACACACACACACACACACACACACACACACACACAGAGAGAGAGAGAGAGAGAGAGAGAGAGAGAGAGAGAGAGAGAGAGAGAACCAAAACACAAACCTAAGCTAACAAAATGTAAGTTAGCCTCCTCTTTCAAAGGCAGATTAAACCCTGTAGGTGGATAGGGACACAGGGGCAGCATTTCCCTGGGAATCTGACTGGTACACACAATACACCCACTACTCTGTTTCCTGAGAAGAGAGATCTCAAGACATTTTAGTAACAGCTTGAGCCCTCTTTTCCTCCGTAGGAACTTATGTTAATAGTGATATTAACAACAAGACATACTGAGACTGTTTGGTAGTCTAAAGGAGCTACCAGTGAGAACCTGATGATAGATTGTGGAGTCTGGTGATTTCAAACAAAGCCATCGCCTGCGTTCTTTCTCCTTCTGGTGCTACAGCTCCGAGGGCCTTCACCTTTCTGTCTGAAATACAACTGTGGCTTTTGCAGTAGAAGAATATGTTGGTGGTTTCGTTGTGTTCTGGGGTCTGGGGAGAGAAAAAGAAAAAGCTGCACTTGGGAGGGGGAAGTTTCATATTTATTTGGTTATTCAAAATACATATCAGAGTTTAGGTTTCCAGTCTTAGTTGTATTTGCTGTTTATTTGTTGGGCTCACCCAGCTCTAACTCCATAGCAGAGAATCTCGGTGAGGTCCATCCTACAGAATGAGGCTGGTGGCGTGTCTTAACCCAGGTCCTCGTACTTCACTGATGGTTTGCTCACAGATTATGTTTGAATGTCTTACGGAAGCAGACATTATTTTCAGTGATTCTTAGGACCACTTGATTGTTATGAATGCCCATGGTAGTCAGGTCTCCTGAGTTCTGGACTGGAATGGAGCTGTTTCTGTCAGCCTCTGTAATGACTGAAGAAATACAGGGTTTTGAAACCACGAAGGAAATGAGAGTTTCCCCCATTTCTGATTTTATTTCTTTGTCTGAAGTCTGTCTTATTCACTTTGGGCCAGAGAGTGCGCTTCTGATGTCACATTTCTCAGCCTCTGACATTACTGTATCCTGGTGCCTGGAAGAAACTCTGGGAAACTGCACACTGAACAGGGAGTTGCAACATGAACCTCTTCATCAGATGAATGAATACTTTTGATTGAATAACAACGGGGTAGAGTTTGTGGGGCTCAGCCTAATCAAACCTGTGTATCTGCAAGTTTCAAGAAAATGGAGAAAGCTAGAACAAGCCCCCAGACTGGCTCCAGAATTGTTTCTGCCCTTCTCAGTCAGTCTTGGGACACAAGTACACCTGTCCCTGGAAACTGGCACAGCCAGTGTTTATATGCACACTCCAGATGAGGAGGCATACAGGAGAGGACCCACTGTTCTTTGTCAGGTGGCCTGCAGGAACTCTGCAGAGGACGGAAGAGGAGACCTCTGTCCTGGGCTTATTTATTAATCTTGCTTTAATACGTTCTCTTCCCAAGCTGGAAGATTCTCTTTTCAGTCATTCTAACCAAGTCTCAAATATCCAGGCAGAGTTTTAGCATGACATCGTGTGATAAATTCAAACCAATACACAGAATAAATGGCCCTTTTTCACCCCATGTCATGAATGTTTTTGGACATAGAGCATCCTAAAATTGACCACTTCCTTTGTACAATACCAAAATGAGTCTCAGTGTCAGAGGATGTGACAAAAACAGCAATTTTGATGCCTTTGAAATTATAGAGGGATTCTACCTGTATTTTTACTCTTAGAACAGATACACCTTTAAACGGGTGTCACAACCAAAGGTGGAGTACAGTTTGGCGTGCAGGCTCCATGGGAGCTCTAGTGCTCAGTTGTTGGTTATTTAAAGCACACTCAGTTTGCACTCATTTCCCCTAAACAACTGGCACAGCAGGGTTGCCATGCTTAAACTCCTGTGGGATACGCCAAATCCAGCAAGCACCCATCCAGTCTTTCATCCAGTGTGCTCCCCTAAAGAAGTTTGTCCTCAACATGTATAAATTATTAAAGCACTCCAAAATGAAAGTTAATTAATGTCTGTCCTTTTCTTCTAATTTTAGAGGTTCTCTTGAGAAACACCAACTGCCAATCTGAGTCAGCATTTTAGGACACAATGCTCAGAGAAGTGCTTTTCCCGCCATCTCCTTTGTTGCTAATTCCATGTGTCCGATTCCTTCTGTATGTCATTCTTGTTATTAACGAGACTATATCCTCCCCTGCCCTGACACCTCATAGGATCTCTGCTTCTAAAAATCAGGTGTGATCCTACTTGAAAACAAGCCTTGAGGAGGGAGCTTCAGTCACTATGAACATGTGAGAGGTTATCTGTGTGGGTGCTCTGCCTTGGGTGATATGCTGTGATCTGCCAGTGTCTGGGTTCACCGTAGGGAATCAGAACAAAACACAAAGCCCAGTGTGACTCCTCCTGCTATTTTGTCTCACACTTACCACTGCTCTGTCAGCTTCAAAGGTTGCCTGTAAAGTATTGGTTTTGCTCTCAACTTTCTGGCACTAGATAAGTCAACAGATAGGAGTCCTGTCTTCCAGGAGATTTTAGGATCTAAGCTGGATAGCACAGACAGGTATAAAAGACGGAAGCTATAGATAAGCAAGGTGGCTTAGATACCCATAAAAATGCAAAAGGCAGAAGCCATTCTGATGTTACTCAAGCCAGTGATGATACGACAACGGATAAGCCTCACAGTTGTCCTGGGAAAGGGTTTAGTCAAGTGAACTCGATCCTAAGAAGAAGTAGTCGTCTTGGGAGGAAACCTGTGTGGTAGCAAAGCAAGCAAATGTCCAGGCTGGTGAAGCTCTGCCTAGCAAGAGCCCTGGTGTGGGGAAAAGGAGGTCAGAGTACCACCAACTGCCGATGTCTGCTCTAGAGTAAGTCAGTGGTGCTGAGCCGGGCCTTGCAGAGCTTAGCTTACAGCAGAGCTTGATCCTCCGTGGTCTTCAGCAGGTTGTGGATGAGTGACATCCGGCTTCATTATCTACGCCTTCATTTTTTCCTCCAGGTTTTATTTCATTTCATAGTGTGTTGATTTTGATGGCATGTGACTTTTAAGCAGGAAGATTTTGCCAAGCAGAATTTTTGAAGGCATGAGGCCAGTGACCCAAAGCACAGGTGAGAGTGTGCCTGGAAAGATTCAGGCAGAAACCAGTAATTCCCTGCCTTCTTGTATACAGTGTGTTCACTGCCGTTTCAGATATTGATGAGTGCTCCAGTAACCAAGCCAGTCCCCAGGACACTAGTCTGTGTTGGCAGGACTTCATAGTTAATCATTCCTTAGGTCTCTCTTGGCCCTCTCATCCAGGAGTCTTAGGTGGGAATGGGACACTTAGAAAGATGTTGGGTCAAGGTTCTGGGCGCAGGGCAGAGTGCTCCTGTCTTAATTCACACTAAATTTGCCACTAGCGGAGTCCTTGCCATGTCATTTCTACCTCCAAAGTAAGTCATCAGAGCCTGCTCATCCACATCTGGTCCAGGCGGGAGTCCGAGGACATCTGCTTCTACACTCGTGAGCACACACACGTCTGTGTGGGACAGTCCACTGGGCTTCGTCATTTAGTCCGGCCCGTTACAGACATTCCTGGAACAGGTGAGAGGGTTTCTATGGGCCTCTGCTGAAACATTCTCATGAAGTATATAGGCTTACACTCACCACCTAGTAAACAAGAACGGTGCACATTTCAGGTGGTTTATTTTGTGGGGGAGGGGGCTGGAGGGGGTTGGTGATAGTGGGTGTTTAAACTAGAATTCTTTTGTCCATGTTAAAAAGACTTGAAAACTGAACCGTCACGGTGCAGTGTTAATTCATGCCTGTGTGTGTAACAGGACACTCTGGCAATTATCTTAAGAACACATGGCAGCATTGAAGTGTAGAAAAAGAATAGTGAATGCCTTTGGGAACATGAATGGTTAAGAGCCAGCCAGGATACGAGGGGAGCAGGGAATGTCTGTATCTGATATGCTCCTTCCAGGTTGGTGTCCCACAGGATAGGTCACGATCCAGGATCCCTGCGTTCCCTCCCTCCTGTGTTTCCCTGCTCCAGGGCCACTTTGGGGATTAGTTGGAACATTGTTGACGTCTTTTCTCATGCCCACCAGATATCACGTACTCATGACTTGACTCCCAAATGCTGCGCCGTTACAGGGCTGAGTTAAAGCCAGACTTTAAAGTTCTGTCGCGGTGGTAAGGAAAGAAACAGGAGGTGCCAGAGCAACCAGAGTTTCTGGTCCTTAAGCATGGGTAACCACCATGCCGGGCACCAAGGCGTTAGTTCTGAAACAGAGAAAGGCTCTGGGTTTTGCTCCCCCTCTCTGCACAGCTCCCTGTGGAACAGAGAGGAAGAGAGACAGGAGTAGGGTTATCAGGGAAGCTTGCTCTGCCAGGCTGCTCGGGGATAACAACCTGTCTCCGACTTGGTTGAGGTCCTTGTTCTGACTTTCTGCACCCTCATGCTACATGATTTGTGTTAGTATAAAACAAAACCGCAGAGCGAATTGGGCCACCTGTGACATCAAGACTGCAACTTGACAATCACGGTTTGCTGATCTCAAACGGGCGCTTAATACTCAGTATGGGTGTGTGATTTAGCGGTTGAGCCCGCCCTTCTGTCTGTCAGTTACGTTTCTACCCTTCAATTAGCTGCACTGTTTTCTAATGTGCTGTAGAGGTTGGAAATAATTTATGCAAGTGTTTGGTTCCCATGTTTACAATTTTTACAGCTTTC